GTCTAAGTGAAGCTGAACATAGCTTCAGTTTGTCAGTAGTTATTATCTTTGTCAGCATGTCTGCCAGATTTTAAGCTCTATTGATCTTTTCAAGTTTAAAAATTCCATCTTCTAGAAGTGACCGGATAAAATGATACCCCACCTCTATGTGCTTCGTTCTGGAATGAAAAGACAGATTCTTCGTTAGATGAATAGAACTTTGACTGTCACAATATAAGACATTGTCTTCTTGTTTCTTGTCTAATTCATCCAAGAAACTTTGAAGCCAAATCATTTCCTTGCTGGCTTCTATAACAACGACATATTCTGCTTCAGTTGTGAAGAGAGCAACTATCTTCTACAGTTGAGAAACCCAACTCACTACATGCAGTACCTCCTAGAGTATAGGCATACCCTGTAGTGCTCCTTCTGATATCAACATTTCCTGCTAAATCAGCACCCACATAACCTGTTAGTATTGCATCTCCACCTTTAAAACAAAGTGTTTTACCTGTGGTGCCCCGTAGATATCTAAGGATCCATTTGACCGCTTTCCAGTGTACCTTGCCCGTATTATTCATGTACCTGCTAACAACTCCCACTGCTTGAGCAATATCTGATCTTATACAAACCATGACATACATCAAACTTCCAATTGCTGATACGTACGGGACTTTCGCCATGTGTACACTCTCTTCCTCTGTATTTAGTGACTGCTCTTTGGAAAGTCTGAAATGAACGCCTAAAGGTGTACTCACTGGTTTAACATCTTACATATTGAACCTAGAGAGTACTTTGTTGATGTACTCAGCCTGTGATAACATCAAAGTTCCAGACTTCGTGTCTCTCTTGATCCTCATTCCAAGAATCTGCTTTGCAGCGCTAAGATCTTTCATTGCGAACTGGTCTGATAATTATTACTTCAAATTTATAATCTCTTACAGATCTGAACCTGTAACGAGCATGTCATCAACGTATAACAATAAAATAATGAATCTATAGTCAAACCTCTTGAGATAGCAACGATTATCTGTTTGACATCTAGTGAAACCGTTGCTGCCCATAAAGCTGTCAAACTTCTTGTACCACTGCCTGAGAGTTTGTTTTAATCCATACAAGCTCTTCTTCAAACGACATACTAGATTTTTCTTGCATGCCTTTATGAAGCATCCTGGTTGCTTTATATAGACCTCCTCCTCCAAATCACCATGAAGAAAAACTATTTTTACATCTAACTGCTCAAGATGTAAATTCTCAGCAACTATAATTTTTAACACAAGTCTGATTGTAGTCAGTTTCACAACCGGAGAGAAAATTTTATTGTAGTCAATACTTTCTTTTTGCTGAAAGCCTTTGACAACCAATCTTACCTTGTAGTGCTTGTTCCCATCATGCTCTTCTTTGATCCTGTAATTCCACTTATATGAAGAGCTTTCATACATGGTGGTAATTCAGCTAAGTCCTACGTCTGATTTGATATAAGCGAGTCCATCTCATCTTGCATAGCAGACTCTCGCTTGATTGAATACTCCACCTGCATTGCTTCATCATAACACTCCGGTTCACCACTGTCAGTCAGCAACAAGTAGTGCAAAGAAGGTGAATAACACTGAATTGGCTTAGGAATTCTGGAGGAGCGTCTCACTTCTGGCGTGCTTGGTTCTTCTTGAACTACTTCAGGACTAGTCTGAACATCATTTTCATAAATCTCCTCAAATTCAGCAAATTCCTTTATTTTAGCTTTTGTACTGGAGCTACTTGATTTTGCAGTTAATCTGTCTTTGTACATCACATTCTCATTGAATATGACATCTTTGCTTCTGATGATCTTCCGATTTTCATAATCCCAAAACCGGTAATCAAACTCATCACCACCATAACCAATAAAAACATATTTGTTAGATTTGGCATCAAGTTTACTTCTTTCAGTAGAATCTATGCGTACATAAGAGATACAACCAAAAAATCTTAAATGCAAAACGTTTACCTCTATTTTGCTCCAACATTCTTTCGGTATTCCACCGTCCAAGGGAACTGAGGGCCCACGGTTGATTAGGTGGGTTGCGGTATTGATAGCTTCAGCCCATAGGAACTTGGGCAAGCCGGCATGTATCCTCATGCTTCTGGCAAATTCGTTTAAAGTTATGTTCATGCGCTTAGCTACGCCATTCTGCTGCGATGTCATGGGAACTGTTTTCTCCATCTTGATCCTGTTGTTTGCGCAAAATTCATTGAAAAATCTATTATCTTTGTACTCTCCTTCATTGTCTGACCTCAACTGCTTTATCTTCAAACCAGTTTAATTTTCCACCAAGGCCTTTCATTTTCTGAAGGTATCAAAAACTTCTGATTTCTTCTTCAGAAAATAGACCCATATCTTCCTTGTAGAATTATCAATGAAGGTGACATAGTACAGTGAGCCTGTAAGAGATGGAACTAGAGATGGCCCTCATACGTGGGTATGAACCAATTCTAACTTTTCTGCCTTGTGTGTCTTGTCAATCTTTGCAAAACTGACTTTCTTCTGTTTGCCAAAGATGCAATCCTCGCATAGGCCGACATCTACATTCTTCAGATCCGACAGCTTCCCTTTTGACAGAAGTGTTTTCATCCATTTCTCGCTCATATGACCAGGCCTTTGGTGCTATAGGTTTGATTTTTCATCTGTTACTGCAATAATATTCTCTAAGTTAGAGATTACATAGAGAGTATCAGTTTTCTTACCTCGAGCAATGACGAGTGCTTCTTTGGTAATCTTCCATTCATGACCCGAGAAGGTTGTATAGTAACCCTCTCCATCAAGCTGTCTCACAAAGATCAAATTCCTTTTAAGGCTAGGAATATATCTCACTCATTGTAGCTTCCATGTGGTCTGATTTGGTAATTTTAATCGGATGTCTCACTTGCCAACGATCTTCAAGGTTTCATCATCTGCTAGAGGTACCTTTTTGAAATCACCGCTGACATAGTTCTCCATGATTTCTCAGCATAGGGTGGCATGAAAGGATGCCCCTTAATCAAGAATATATGATTCAATCAGACTGTTGGCGCTTAGAATCATAGCATCACCTCCTTCCTCGGTCACGTTGGCAGACTCCTATGCGCCGGTATTTTTCTTCGGTGTTTGGCACTCCCTCTTGAAATGACCCTTCTTGTCACAATTATAGCAGTTGTAATCTTTCTTTTCCGGTCTAGATTTTCTCTATCTAGATTTTGATCTGCCGCGATTTGAACTTCTTTCTGAAGTTCTCCCTTAGACTCAGTGTGTAAGACTGAGGAGGTTGATGCTTCACTCTATTCTCCCCGCTGAATTTCTTCACTGAGAACCAGATCACGAACATCATCAAATTTTAACTTATTGTTTCCCGACGAGCTACTCACAGCTGTGACAGTAGCATTCTAACTTTCTGGTAGAGAAGACAAAAGTATCAATGCTAGTACTTCTTCATCAAACTCAATTCCAACTAAACTTAACTGGGTTGTGACTGTATTGAGTTCATTGAGATGTTGAGCTACCGATGTGCCTTTTGTCATCCGCAAATTGAACAGTTGTCTCATCAAGTGAACTTTGTTTGAGGCAGAGGACTTCTCATACATGCTGCAGAGAGTCACCATAAGACCCTTCGTGATCTTTTCCTTTACTATGTTGAAAGCAACATTATGGGATAACATCAATCGGATAACTCCAAGGGCTTGTCTGTTGAGAAGAGCCCACTCTTCATCCTTCATGTCATCTGGCTTATTTCCTAAGAGAGGTTGATACAGCTTCTTCTGGTACAGATAATCTTCGATCTGCATCTTCCAAAAGCCAAAGTCCAACCATCGAACTTCTCAATTTTCACTTTTTCTTTGTCTACAGTCATCGGTCCCACTCGAATCTGGCACCCTCTGGATCGTTTCTGACTGTTTTTGCGAACCATCGTGTATTAGAACACTGCTGTCGACGAACTAGTATCATCGGTAAAATTTCACTATTCATGAAATTTACTATTCATGTGAATAGTAATATCATAGAAAATTAACATACGTCACAACTAGAGCTCTGATACTAGTTGTCAAGATTGGTGGCTGTTTATTTATCAACAAAAACAACCGTCGAAAGCAGTGGAGCAAGAGTTAAAAAAAAAGAAAGGAAAAAAAGAAGGAAGGGGGGATGATTGACAGACCACAATTTGTGACCTGATTTGTGCGCATGAAGGCTATAAAAACCCCACTGCTATCCCTTTAATTTGCATCCTCATCTACTGAGTGTATTCAATCCTTCATGTCATCTGGCTTATTTCCTAAAAGAGGTTGATACAGCTTCTTTTGGTACAGATAATCTTCAATCTGTATCTTCCAAAAATCGAAGTTCGCACCATCGAACTTCTCAATTTTTACCTTACCTTCGTCTGCAGCCATCGCTCCCACTCGAATCTGGCACCCTCTGGATCGTTTCTGACAGTTTCTGCGAACTACCGTGTATTAGAACATTGTTGTCGACGAACCAATATCACCGAGAAAATTTCACTATTCATGAGTGAAATTTACTATTCATATGAATAGTAATCTCGTAGAAAATTGACAAACATCACAACCAGAGCTCTGATACCGGTTATTGGGGAAAAAAATTATACGCCATAAGATTTCCCTATCACTGTATTTGTAGGAAAGCGGAATAACAACGCACACAAATTTAACGTGGTTCTGCACAAAATTTCCTATGTCCACGGGATGCTGCTGATCTTTCACTAAGAGAAGAAAATTTACAAGTATTTTTACATACAACTCATAAGAAAAAATATCTCTAGAATTTTTCCTCACAAAATCACTCTCTGATTTTGTCTCTCTTCTCAAAAACACGTCAGAAGGATTGAATTCACTCAGCAAATGAGGGTGCAAATTAAAAGGAGAGCATAAGAGTTTTTATAGCCTCAATGCGCACAAAACAGGCCACAAATTGTGGCCTGTTAATCACCCCCTTCTTTTTTTTCCTTTTTTTTTTTGACAATTGCTCCTCTGCTTTCGGTGGCTGTCTTTGTTGACACAAAAAAAACCACCAATCTTGACACAAGTGCATTATATAGGAAATGGTTAATATATAGACACCCCTGCACCCTATGGCGGATAGACTCCTTGTGGTTTTGTTTCTGCCGATAGTCTCCCTGAATGAACTTTGTTTTCTTGGCCTATTGTAAGAGTTAAAAGAATCACTCGGGGTATCTGTTCTTAATTGGGCGATAGTACAAAGAGTCTATCAGCAATTATCACTATATAGAACACTATAGAAAATAGGGTTAAATGCAAGTAGACCGCCTATAGTATCATTGTCTTAAACTTACTAGCCGATACTTTTATTAATTGTTGCAGAGAGACCCCCATGATTGAAAAAAAGTTTTGCTCACTTATCCTGGGTGAGACTTTGATGGATATATACTCTCCGCTTTAAATTAACGAGTCTATCTGGGGGGCAAATTGAAAGAGTAAAATAATGAAACACGGGCCGGGTATATCTGCGGCAATGAAACATCAAGGGTAGCAAACTCAAAACAAATATTACTCAAACTTTGAAAAACCCATCTCCATGAAACGCATGGTACGTACATACCTCTCAAGAGCCCCGTGGTCCTCGACACATCAATCTGAGATGGGTTCTCCGGGTCGAGCCCGGGCCTGACTTTCTCCGGCAACCTCGACACGAAATCTCCTCGCAATCTCCCCGGCGCCGGCGACCAGTTCTCACTCCGACGGCCCAAAAGCGCCTCCTCCATTATAATTCCCTTCTCCTAATTAATGCGCAAAAAAAAAAGGGGAGAGGGACCTTTATATATATATAGTAGAAGAGAGCAGTTGAAGGTGAGGTAAACTTTGAGTGTGCTGTGTCCGACACGGGGATGACATTGAGAAGGGGAAGGAAACAAAATTGGTAGGGATTTCAAGTGGGCTCCCTAACTTTGAGTCGCTGAGGTCGTATTTACGTGTTTGAAAGTATTAGAAGCTGGGGATTCTCTTGTTTGGTTTGGATGGGACACATGATATAATAATAGACTTTGTAAGGTTATACGTCCTTTTTTTTTCCTTTCTTTTCTTTTGGGTAGGTACCTTCTTCGCCTATAGATTGATTTTTTTTTTAAAAGTTATCTAATGATCATTATTAAAACCATTACTTTTTGGATGTTTGCATTTGGATAGAACTTTTAAGTAATGATAGAATGTTTTTTTTCTTCCTCCCTTGAATTTTTAAAGTTCTATCAATTGATTTTCTTGAGGGAGTTCGTGGTTTGAATTTTTCTTGTATAAATTTCACGTACTGTCATTCTAAATTGTGAACTATTAATTAACCCCAACTCCCCCCTCTTTACAAATGAAAGTATCACGAAGTTGGTCACTCAATTAATTTGCAATAAAGCATGCTTATCTACGCCGGTACTTGTGTTATAGAGTAATATCATTTTAATTAATTGCCATAAAGCATGTTTATCTACGTTAGTGCTTGTTTTATTGAGCAATATCATTTTTTGCTTGTGTAGGCAATGCTTGCCATTTCTCTATTGGAAAAAACGTACGGTATGCGCTGTGACTATAACATGGTGTTGGATAGCAGGTTCCTAATATGTTTCCTAATTTGTTTTAGTAACAGGTTATTGGGATTCCTAATCTGTTTTGGTAACATGATTCCAGATCTGTTTTGGTAACAGGTTATTAGGATTCCTAATCTGTTTTGTTTTTTGCTTTTTGTTTTAGAATTCCTAGTATGTTTATGATTTTAGGATTTCTATATATATAGAACAATTGGAAGAGAGAATTAAGAAGAAAATTAGGGATATTTGGAGCACAGAAAAGAGGTATTTTATGAGCTATTGGTTAGGGTTTTGTTCGGAGAGAATTAGAGATTTGTTGGTGAGATTAATTGGTGAGTTTGAGTGATTTGTAATCTCAGTTTGTACTCTTCTTCTCTATTAATGAAAACTCTATCCCCTTGGTGCCCCGTGGACGTAGGCAACCCGCCGAACCTCGTTAAAATTGGTTGTTTGTGTTTGTGGCATTGATTTGGTTCGTTTGGCCTTCTCTCGACGTTTGTTTGATTCGATTTCTCGTAGCACGTTGGTTTGATTGTTTGGCTTCCACCACGCACAACACATGGAACCTAAATCAGCTCGTTCACATGACAATCACATGCATCATCAAGGTCACGCTTGATGTTTCCTAACTGCTCTCTTTTTAATCCAAATTTTATAGTTTGGCATAAAAAAATAGTTTTCTTTCACAAATATTATATATATATATATGGCATATTTGTATTAAATAAGAGGTAGATAGAGAGGTAGTTGGCCAACTACTTGCAGTTTGCTCCCTTGATAGGGGATTAAGCATCTTCACTGTCCATTAACCATCTAATTAAAATCTTATCTCTGTGCCTTGAATCTTTGCCGACAACACAAATTTCCAAACATGGCTACATTCTTTTTTTCCTAAGGAAAATAGAGAAGATTTTATTAGCTATAAAAATAAATACAGAATATACATGAGAAGATACTAATATTGCTATCTCAGTCAAGTAGTCATGCTACTCAAGAGCGGTCGTCTATTCTACTGTAAGAGGGTGTCATATACCAGAAAGAAGATCGAAAAATCAATTGACGAAGAAAAAATGAGTACATTTTTTATGTACATTAATGTTCAAATGCATGCAGATATTTTTTAACTTTTTTTAAAGAATTCACAAATTTTCTTGCTTTCCATAACCTAACATGGCCCAAAATTGGTGTCATTTGAAAGTTGGCTCGATGCCCTTGGACCTTATGGTCCTCATCAATGCCTTCTAAACAAAAGGAACTATCCACATAATCAGTAACAAGCACAAGCCAACAAGCAAAATACAGTCATCCTCATCTCTATCTTTTTGAGGATGGCAGCCTCTCGCCTTATACTGTCTCAAAGTTTATGCAAGTTTTTCACCTCTTAACTTTTTCTCGGAGAAGACATATTTACACTGTTACATTGAATTTAGATGACTAGAGCGATTTGAAGTATTTATCTTTGTAAGATACAACGGTCTGAAGTGTCGTATATGTCTGAGTTAGTTACATTTTCAAACTTATGCACATCAATCTCCCTCTCTACACAAATTCACTTCATTTGTAGTCTAGCTAGGGATGTTAAATGGGTGGGTTTGGGTATTAAATGGGCGGGCATATTTTGCCCATTTACCCATTTATGACCCATTTAACATTTTCTAAATGGGCGGGTTTTTACCCACCCATTTAATAAATGGGTCGTCCATTTGCCCATTTAACTATAATAGCTATATATGTATAATACTTTTAGGGTGTTTTTTGTAAAGTTTTAGGATTTTTTTGTAAACTATTGGGGGCTTTTTGCAAAATTTAGGAGTCTTTTTGTAAACTTTTTGAATTATCAAAATATGCACATGCATGTACATAACTCATTCAGGAATAGCATGAACATATTGAACGAGATAGCATTAAAATTACCAATCATGTATTTTTTTTATTTTTACTATGCCAAGCGCAAAGAACTGAAAGAATACATCACCTACAAAATGATATACATTGTTTATAGCGATAACCAATGCCACAGGAAGCCACTTATGCCACATCAAAAAGAAATTCAAATAGAGCACAATTTTTCGAACGTGCAAACCCGTCTTATGAATAAGCATCACAACTCGCCTTAAAATGCCACAATAACCTCAATCAAAGAAAAAATACAGACATAATTTTGATGGATAGGGATCATACAAACACATTAACCAAACATCAAACCCCTCACGAGAGTCCACATAATTGTTGAACTGACAATTATTCATTTCAAGTATTGCAATGCGAGGGACCACACCAAACCCGAATAGAAAAAGGAAACACAACAAACATAAAATCCCTGTTCATTGAGATAATCACCAAGCCTCTCAACAATCATCTTACACTACCCAAGAGTCATTGGCTCATCATAAATGTCGAAGATCAAAGCAAGATTAGTTTTCTTAGATTGTAACACCTCATCATCCTGAAAGATACAAGCAAACAACCAGTTCAATTATGTTAAGGATAAATATCTTTGTATGAAAACAGAGCATAAAAACCATGAATAATTTATTATGTTTCTCTTTTCTATAACAAGCAACTGGAAATTTCATCTTGTGCCACAATACATGAAACAGATGCACCCAATAACGAACAAAGTTGTCTAATTTGATCAAGGCCATAGTGTGTGATTATACCTAGAGTTCGAGTTCTTCCACAAGTAACCAGAAGCAAAATACATAAGGGCTAATTATTTTTATTGGTCAAACTAACATAATATGTTCATCCTAGCAGCGGATATTAGTCTTGAAACTTTGCACCAATTGCTAGTGCAATCGGAGGGCCAAAAATGAAACCTCTAGCCTCAATTCCTGTTAAATCCAACATGGAAATTGTAAATGAATGTTGCAAGAAGTGTCGCTTGTAGTACACATCCTTAGATATTCCATCACATATGGTCATCATTCATATACTCATATGAAGTGCCAAAAGGAATGTCATCAAACTTTTCACTAAATGAGATATTAATAAATATACTAGAAAACAAGACCTGTCTTTCACTAACTGAGATGTTATAACAAAAAAAAAAGGGTAGATTGCACATAGAGCTTATATAGTAGGCTTACAAAACTGTTTTGAACTTACTACCCATGTACTTACATTGCTTACAAAACTCTTTTACCCTTACATAGACCTTTTTACAACATTGAGCCAATCCAACTCATAACATCCCTCCGAACATGTTCAGAATATTGGCAATCAAAGATTAGATGTTTGTAATCTTCAGGTGGCAATTCACAAGGGTACAAATATTTTCTTGAGCTATATCATCTTACATAAGTTGTCAAGTATAAGGAGACGTTGCTGGAAAACAAGCCATAGTATAAAAGATTGTTTAGGGAAAACAAATTTATCGCAAACAATAGGGTGCTAGGATTCTCTATGAGATAAAGGAAGAAGATCATTGTAAGCTAGTGATTAACAAATTAACCATTAAAACAACACTTATCCATCCTTTCTATTACTCCTGTAACAGTCCCCTATCTATGTGTGAGGTTTATGTACGTATGTGCTTATGCAAACAAGCCTACATATGCATTTATACATAAGAGTTCACTCAATTAGAAGGTAAAAGTAAAAATAACGATCAAAATGATATTTGGATTTGGATCAGGTTACACAGATGAAAGCTGAATACATTCCACCTAGAGAAGATGTTATCATGCAAAACAAAGCACCAGACGATGTCTATGTGATCGTTTCAGGTGAAGTGGAAATTATATACTCTGAAGAGGAAAAGGAACAAGTGGTAGGATCCCTAGGTACATGAGATCTATTTGGAGAAGTTAGTGCATTGTGTAATAAGAGTATAGGACTCAAGGTTTTACATTCCGAACCCGAACGTTATCCCAGCTACTAAGGTTAAAGCACAACGCGCTTAGAGAAGCTATGCAAGCCAAACAAGAGGACAACATAATTATAGTTAAGAACTTCCTCAAGGTAAAAAAGAAATTTGTTATCAAATTACTAAACATTATCATATTAGAAATTCAGTTATGTTAACAGAGAATTTGTGTATTGCAGCATCAAATCGAATATAAGGATATAAGTCTTGATGATATTCTAACAGAGAACGGAAACCACAATGAAGCAAATATAACTGAATTTTGCTTTTCTATTTATCACAATTGTATACAAAGTGCAACCATGACCTGATTACAAGCACAATAAAAAATAAGATTAGTCCTTACCAATTTATAGTGCCTTGTT